TGTGTGTGTGTGTGTTTATTATGTATATACTCAGTACCTGTGATTTATTTTGAAAACTTCTGTATTGACATTTGTTCATAATCATGTATAAGTAATATGTTCATCTTAGCTCATTCCCTTTTACATTGTAGAATAAAATGAAAGTTATCTCAAATATCAGAGTTTGGTTGTCCTTGCTCACACCGTGCGTCAAGAATATTCTTTTCTTATTTCACAATAATCTTGTAATTGCTTACCTTCAAGAAATGAATGTTGGGATTGCACTAGAGCTGCTTATTTCTACTGATGTTACCTGTGTGTATTGGTTTTTGGATAATGTTCTAACGTCATAGTGATTAAGGAGCCTAAACAGGATTTAAGAAACCAGTAAAAATAAAAGGGCTAAAGACAGTTTACCCACACAAACTGCCACTTCCGTAAAGCCTAAAATGTCTCAAAATAGGCCATACGTCGTCTTTAATGTAACAATGTTAGAAAAGCACGGATCAGACGTGGAGGAAAATGATCACCTGTCAGCAGAATGTAAATGAAATAATACTAGAGTGGTTTAACGGCCAAGGGCCACCTTGATCAACCGATTCAAATTGCCAAACGAAACAGGCAGCACTAGAACTTTAAATTTTATTTATTTAGTATTGGTTTTACGGCGCTCGCAACTGCATAAGGTCATGTGAGCGCCAAGGGGTGGATGTCAACAGAGAAGTTTTTACAGGGAATCGGGCTTACTCTGCTCACCTCTCTAGCTTTAACAGCACAAAGTCTGTTTTGACTTTCAAGACATCCCGGACATAGCGGGTCACAAGAGAGTGACAAACATACCAAAAAAAGTAGAGGAAAATGACGATAGTAAGGTTTAGAAAAGAAAAAAGCAACAGTTCAATGTTGTAGTTCAGGCACAGTTATGAGCATGACATTGTTGAATCAGCCCATTTACAATTCTACTCTGCATAAGAACGAGAAATGTCCCCCCTTTGGGAATGGCCTTCAGTCAGTGGCACTACCACAAAGGGGGGGTATGGGAGGTATTATGTAATGGATGGTTATCTGGGTGGCTGGAAGGGTGAGGAGGGGGGGGGGGGGGGGTGTAAATAAAACGTTTAAAAAACAAACCAGGAACAAAAAACATAAAAACCCAAACAAACAAACAATATTTAAAAACAAACAAAACAAAACAGAAACAAAAGTTAACTAAACAAATACAAAAATAACCTCCAAACACTAATTTTTTTAAAAACATAGTGAAGAACAGACACAATCAACAAAAACCTATGCACAGGCTTTAACTTATAGCATTATCAATCCAAAGGAGAAAACTGATTTTTTTATGGGCCAGCAATAGAGAACATCTCTACCCATTCTCTTTACTAACTTACGAAAAGAGCGATAAGAGAGACATTACACGTTATATTGGTCCGACGATACAAAAATAAACCCAATAGAAACTCCCACAAAAGCACAAACAACACTGCAGGGACACCTACTCTCAAAAGACATTCCAATCTCTCTTTATGAAGCCTGGTCTTACCAGATGATGTATCATAGGTTTTGGGAAAATTAAGTAGCTTGAAACGCTCTCACCTAAATAGAACAACGCTACACCACCAACAACAACACAAAAACCCGGGCATTCATATTCGATCTGAATCGAGGTTCAAATGAAACCTCATGGAGAAAAAAGACAGAGGGACAAAGAGTTATGTCTAACACCTTTGTTTCCTTTTTATTGTTTTACGGTACTCGCAACTGCATAAAGTCGTATGAGCGCGTGGGACACATTAACATTAAGCCTTTCAATTTGGTCGGAATTAGTTTAGAATTTTGCCCACATGGCGGCCGAAGCCTACTCTTATCGACTTTAAGACCAAAAAGAGACCTTTTTACAACTTCAAACGGGACCTCCGAGATTTTTTCACCCTTATCCGAGATATTTTGGTGATAGATCTTATTTAAATTAGGATCCGTGGTGTAGCTGAAAGACAGCAGTGAGAAGGAGCCAAGGAGTAGCAGTAGAAGGACTGCAGAAAGAGTCACGGGCCCAGAGGAGGGGGCAAAATAGAAAGGGGGCTGGGGGTAGAAAGTGGAAAAGAAAGCAGACGACAGAACATGATTAGACAAGAGATGAAAGAAGAGCTTTTAAAACGAAAGAAAAGAACATTGTTCGTCGCGGTCAGGTTTCTTTTTATTACACAAACTGGTTGTTGCAAATACTGAGCGCTTGACACCAGTGCGAGATGAAGAAGAAGAAGAAGAAGAAGAAGAAGAAGAAGAAGAAGAAGAAGAAGAAGAAGAAGAAGAAGAAGAAGAAGAAGAAGAAGAAGAC